TTGTGTATAATCTTCTTCGTCGATTTCATTGTAGCAGCTTAAGAAGTGTGGTCGTATTATCTTGTTTTGAGGCAGATTGAATAACTTTAGATGCATAATTAGACGCAAATACTTATGTATATATGTACGGTGAAGACATGATATCTTTCAGTAAAATAGAGACAATTATGGCCATCAACATAAAATAATACGCCACAGCTCTTTATTACATTGCAGTCATCTGTACGCTCCTACTCCGGAGAGGTCGCTTGTACTGCAGTCACTTTGGACATTATAAGGTATGTTCACAAGGAGGAAACTTTCCAATGAAACTGAACAACTCTTGTCTGTGGGAACTCTACACATTAACTTTTACAAACTATAGACCCAGAGTAAGGCGATTTGAACCCCCCTGATATCGAGAAGAAATCTAATCTCCAAATTGGATAAGATTTTACACAAACTTTTGTGAATCATCACACTACAGTACGTTTTAAAGTTTTCACAAGAAAGAAACATCAACATTTCCTTAACTAGCCTTGCAAAAAGTTTCACAAAATAAATACCTAAATACAGCACTCTACACATAGTTAAGTGCACATAGCGTTCTTCGTGTGTGAAAAGAAAATTAAAAATGTCAACTAACTTGGTCTAAATCGGACATAGCTGTATCCGCTTTGCCGTCAGTATATTTCTGGTGACACTATTGAAATCTTATCTGCCAATATTTGAAGTCAAACAAAATGTGTTTACATAAATCATTAAGCAGCTGAAATGCAGCCAATTATTTCCGAGTAAAAATATTCATTAGTTTAGTATTTGTTATTGCCACTTGGCGCTAAAATGACTCCGAACTGCATATGTGAACAAGAAAAATTTTATTTAGCCAATTTTATGTCAATAAATGAACTTTTGACAATGTCGCTGTGGGCAACTAGACACATAGATACTTAGCTGTCGAACTGTATAGTAAGCCAATGTTAAACGCCCAGGCGACATTATGTTGGTCTGCTGCCAATTAGCCCATGAACCGATTGACATCAATGCATAGACATGTTTGGCGGAAACTAAAAGAGTGACAGTGACAAGGAATGCTAAACAATATTGGTCAGCGTTATTGACGTTATTACTTGTATCACTTTTTTCTCTCGTTGAAGAAAATGAATACCGAAAAAGGGCAACTAGTTATTTAAGTTTTGTGATAATGTGCCTAGCATAAATATGTAATCAAAGTAGAAATATATAGGTTGTTGGCTAATCACCCCTAAGCTTGTCAAGAACTATATTAAAATATCTACATAATTTAATACTGTTATTAACCTCTGTATCACGATTATGTTTCTTAGAGGAAATGGGAATGCAGATCACCACTTCTCCTTATCAGACTTCGCTTTCTAGACTTTAGCAGGAATCGAAGCCGCATCGTAGTACAAAGCTCAATAGCGATAAAATTGACGTCTACATACTTAGTTGTTTGCGGCGAATAACACTTTAACATTGTGCCGGGAACCAGGCAACTACTTGATCGAGAGTGAAACGTAGAGCATCCGACGAACTGCCGAGAGAAGGATATTAGACCATCTTTGTAGACGGAAAGCGTAAGTCAAACCCCGTTCTGGATTTGGTTGTAGGGCCTTTGCAAAGAGTAGTGAATTTTAGTTTTCAATGGACTCTATTCGAAGGTTAATTGGTAGCTTGGTTGATTGTGGTGCTTCCATATTTACCACCCTGGACTCAATTACGAAGTTTGGATTTTACATAGAAAAGTAATCTCTCAGTTTTCCGAGCTTGGCGATTTAAAGCGTTTTTTATCAACTTGAAGTTGGCGGTCGC